CATTCCCCACCATGGACACAGCATGCACTCACTGGAGCTACCCGTGACAATGGAGCCGTGTCTTACTCTGAGATTTTGAAAACCAGAACTGCTTCCCAGGGAATATTCCCAGTAGGGTCTGGAAAAGCTAACCTGCCTGACACACTGCCCGCGGGGGTGAATTAGCAGTTTGAAATCCCTGAGGGCTATACAAAGAAAGCCCTGGTGCAAGTCAAGCACATGCTCAAGCCCTGTGCTGAGCTGGGGCCGCCGAGGTCGGGGCGTTCCCTCTCCTTGCAGCCCAACACAGGGGACGCACAGGCCATGGAAACAGTCCAGATGATTGTCACAGCTTTAACCTAGGTCACACGAGACTGCTACAAATATAGATAGGGAATGAAGCTAAACAAAAACCAGGAAGGAAAACTCCCTTTAGCCCTTTGCATGCCCTGCTGTTTGGGTGGGTATTAGCCTGCGCCACTGCTGACATCGCTGCTGCAGAAGCGATGAAGAAAGTTTTTCACATTAACTCTGGCGTAAACCCTGGCACAGGGTTACTAAAACCAAGACAAAACAACAACAACAAAAACCCTCGGATGTTATAAACTGAATTTTCCTTCCCACGGGCTGCCTGTCTGGCTTGACCCAGCCGATAGGTAGCTCTTACTGGAGGCTGCCAGCTCTGCTGAAATGCTATCCTTCAAAGGCCAGCGAGCATTTCATCCTCCAGAGCTAAATTTCCACTATGTGAGGAGGATTCAAACCCTAAGGCAACTTTCGAATAATGCCACGGAGACTCCTGAACTTAATGGCACAAGCTTTGTTTTACTATTTAGTTGCCAGAGTGAGAAAAACAAAAGCAAAATAAAATAATGATGTCACAACTCTTTAAAAAGGAAGTAGCACCATAATTCAAGATTTCTAACCTTCAAGTAGGTATCTCCAGATTTTACAACACAATCCACACCATAAACTTTCAACAATATAATACCTGCCATAATATGCAGGGCCCACTAAAAGATCTTTGGTGTGGTACCTACATGTGTGACAAAAATAAGTAGAAAACTCAGGTTTTGCAAAAGCATCCACCTGTGTAATTCTGAAGACAGTCTTGCCCTTTCTCTTCCAGACTTCCTGCCTCTTACAACTAGGTCCTGCCGAAGTTTAGTAAATGTGGATGACTGTGGAGTGTAAATCATCTACATCAGATCTATCTCTGGAGGTGAAGAGCACAAAGAGGAGCCCCAGGACTGTTGCTGTCCCAGACCAAAGGCTGATTCCCCACAGCCTGAAGGAGGAAAGGATTAAAAAGGCAAAGCAGCACCCAGATGTCCATCACCCAGTTAGCAAATGGGAACCATGCCCATGATTTTATCAATGTGAATAAACATCTGATCAGAGGGAGAAAAGAAAATGTATTGGCCTCTAACGCCAACAGCTGGGGATGATGCAACGAGATCCTGTTTTCCCCAGGAATTTGCCCTGGAAAGCGGTCATTGAAAACAAGCCTGGAATGGCCCCTCCTTCCCTGGCCACCTTCCCAGCACAGTGCTTCACATGTGGCAGGCAGGAAGCAAAGCTGCTGCCACAGAAAAATAATCCTGGAGGCAATCTTGCCTGATGAAGGCACAGGATCGCTTTTACTCTTCACACACCATCATCGGTGTGTGCGGCACGGAGAGGCAGGGGGAAGAAAACTCCAAGCCCTCGTACCCCAATGCGCTAAGGCACGAATCTGCGTCCATCAAGACAACAGGAGGAGGGAGGCAGAGGCAGGGGAGGCGCAGGGGAAATAGGGCTGTTAGATGCAAGTCCCAAAACAGCAGCCTTCTGCGTATCAAATTGCTCATCTGAAGTTCAAGGTCCGCCTAAAATCCAATAGGAAAGGAGGCAGTACCGAAACGTCAGCGGGTTATTTGGTACCGTCTGCAAGGGCACTGGGGCCGCCTTGGACTTCCAAAGTTTGGGAGACTCTTGGGCTGAGCACTGACACAGAGGACCTTCCCGGTCCTTCCCTAGCTTTGCTCACCATGACTTTGTCCTAACGGGAATAAGCCCTAACAAAACCCTCGGGGCCAAGCGTGCAAGACCCACCTCGAAGAAGCTCGGGGGAGCTCCTTGCCAAAACGAGGCATGGCTAAGGCGGAAGATGACGTCACATGGAATAACCTCCTTCCTCTTGCAAAAGCAAAAGGAAAGGAAAAGGAAAACCATTGTGCAAGCACACACTGATCTGCGACGCAGCAGAAGAGCCAGAAACCAAGGCGCACGCAGGGACGAGCAGGTAGGCGCGTGACGGTCAGCCCTGCCTCACCACCACCACAGACACGACTGGGAGAAAGCCAGAGCACCCGGGGCCGTGCTGAATGTGCTCTGCCCGGGGAGCCACTAAAAACAAGTTTTCCCTCGCTCTTCTAGAAAACCACTCACCTTCTCGACTCCCTCAGTGCACACACAAAAGGGCAGGATATTCTTCTGCTTTTTGTTCTGTTTTAAAAAAGAAGCAGATCCCTCTTCTGGTACTCGTAGCCCAACACCTTGCTCACGCTGACAAGCACAAGCATTACTTCATCGCGGCTGTATTTACAATGCCCAATTAAAAAAAAAATAGGCACATCTCCATTATCAGCCACAATTACTCTTATCACCAGCTGACATTTCTGCCCTAGCTCTCCCGTTATAAAGATGCCGTTATTTGGTCTTACTTGTTCAATGTCCTTTCCTCCGGCTCCGACACGCCAGTCTGGTTGCTAGGGCTATGCTGTTCACTTTTCAGTAGGTGGAGATTTTTTATTTTTATTTTTGAATGACATGCAAACCCTCTGGCTACGGCGCTAGGGAAGAGATACTCCAATCGACTCGCAGTGAAAAGCAAAACACTGCCCTGCAAATGAAACTAAGGAAGGCGAGGGACACAGCGGGGCTTTGGAGCTTGGTGAATGGGAACGGCAGGCTGAGGGATTCCAACGGCAAAGCTGCCTGAAACGAGATTTAAAAATTAGACATTTCATGAAGATGTCAGACTAAATAATAATAATAATAATAATATTAATAAAAGCACCTATGTTATGTATGTTGGAAATTATAGTTTTCCCCCTCCACGAGTTCTCTACATCAAATTACAAAAGCAGAGGCATCTAGAGGCAACGTTTTCAAGCCTATTTTTTGCTTTGGGAGGCTTTCATGCCGGATACCCACTTAGCAAACACACTATCCTACATGTAAGAGATGGCTGGGCAAGAGGTCCCAGCATCTTCTGGCTTTGTCTCCTTCACACCTCTGACCTGAACCATCCTCAGCACTTAGTTGTCACAAGGGCAAGCTTAGTCTGTTAAGATAAACGCCACTTCAGACACCTAATCACACCTATTTGTGCTCCAAGTGGTCAGCCAGAAGAGAAACTGCGCACACAAAAACTTATCTATAAAATACATTTGAATTACAAACAAAAGCTGCTTCAAACAAAAGAATCTAAAGTACTAGAATAAGTTTTGAAGACCCTGAACTATAGTGCTACCAGGCAGCGGCTTTTTAGCGCCTAATAACAAAAGTATTCAACAAATTTACACTAGGGGTCATTAGCATTTCTCTTAATAAAAAGGAAAAAAAAAAGAACATTTCATGGATTTCAGGCCTAAGGGAAAAAATAAAAAAGGGTAAACAACGAAAATAGATCACTGCTGAATGCATTGCTTTGGTATTTTACAGGAGAACAAACAAAATTTAAAAATGAAAATAAAATAAACGCTGGGGGTATCTTAATGGGAATTGCTTAGACAAATATCTTATCATGAGACAGGAAGAATAAATTACTTAGCTCCCAAATTCACCCCACAACATGTTTTGAGCCGCGCTACACTCTATGCCTCAAGCAAGGAACTGAGCAGACAACAAAAATTTTGATGGGAAAAATTAATTTTCAACACATTTTAGAGCAAACTGCTGTTTCTCACACTCCCTCCCCTCAGCTTACAAAGAAAAAAAAATAAATCTATTTGCAAAACAACCAAATTCGGGCTACAGCACTGTAATCATCCCGCTCGCTCCGCTCCGCTCCGCTCCCTCTCCCCCAGCAGCCCTTTTTTGACCGCATTTGAAAGGAATTCCATAAATCCAGCACGTGACGGGCTATTTTGCTGCGTGACGGACACGGCTCTGTAAATATTTTCGGCCCCTCGTAGTACGGCGCCTGAGGAATCAGCGCGTTATTTGCCCACGTGCTCAGCTCGGGCCCACGGGTTAGGGACAAAAGCCACGATTGAGACATTGGCCGCTGGCGCCCAGCGGCTCCCGCCGGCGCGGAAATGCCTCGCATTCCCCACGGACACGTCAGGGACGCGCTGCGGCCAGCGCGACACCCAACAAAAGGGACATTGTTGCTGGCAGCCCAAAAGGTACCACAGCAAAACACCGTAGGAACCGCCAAATCCCGAGCAGAAACCCATGTTTAGATCAGATTGCACAGCACGTGCCTCTTCCCTTTAGGTTTTTTGTTTTCTTTTTTCCCCTCTTTTTGGTGTTCCAAATTTATGAACTCCCATATCCAAAAGGGTTCAGCTTTGGATTTTGGACCTCC